TCAGAGCTGGAATTAGAATTCAGGAGCCTCTTGTTCCCAGTCCTGTATGCAGAGCAAGGAAGCTCAGCTCTCTTCCAAGACTACATCTGAAACTGCTGGTCTGAGCATCACCTTTTGGAGTCGAGTGTTTTGTGCACTACATATAAGTGACATGGAAAGGCAAAGAATTTATAAAGGAGTCAGATCTTCGGTTGATGAAAACCAGGCTGGAATTAGAATTCAGGAGCCTCTTGTTCCCAGTCCTGTATGCAGAGCAAGGAAGCTCAGCTCTCTTCCAAGACTACATCTGAAACTGCTGGTCTGAGCATCACCTTTTGGAGTCGAGTGTTTTGTGCACTACATATAAGTGACATGGAAAGGCAAAGAATTTATAAAGGAGTCAGATCTTCGGTTGATGAAAACCAGCATCATCACAGGGAAGTTAAGGGACCTATGCTGATTTACTCCATTTGGGAATCTAACCCATTAGCATTTAGAGCAGAGTATCTGGAGCCAAGTCGCAGACGTGCCACAACAAGAAAGGGTGTGAGACCCGACTGTTCCCATTCTGGAGTTCTGTCTTCCATGCTGAGGTTGATAAAAACGGATTGATCTGATCTGTACTCTGGCATCTAATCAGTCACCGACTCCACTCCCATTAGTAATTTGTTTTGCTTGCAGTTGTCTGTGGCAAGGTCTCTAAGTGCAGATCCTAGTGTCTGTTGGCCAGGACTTCCCTGAATTCTCTTTGCTCAAGCATTCACGCAGGCAGATATTACTCAGTCTCTGTTTATAGCCAAGGTCACCAATATGTGTTACTGTCACTCGTAAATCATGTACTCCAGCCCCCTAATCATTTCTCTTGCTTTCTGCTGGACTCTACAATTTATTCTCATCATTTCTGTAGTGGGAGAGGGAGACTCCAAAACTGGATGCGATACTCAAGATGTGGTCTTACTAGTGCCAAATAAAGGAGAACAATCACTTCCCTCAATCTACTGGCAATGTTCCTACTAATGCAGCCCAATGTGCCATTAGACTTCTTGGCAACAAGGGCACACTGTTGACTCATATCCACCTTCTTGCCTACTGTAATCCCCATGTCCTTTTCTGCATAACTGCTGCCTAGCCAGTCAGTCCCAGCAGTGGTTGGGATTCTTCCATCCTAAGTGTACAACTCTGCACTTGTCTTTGTTGACCCTCATCAGATTTCATTTAGCATAATCCTCCAATTTGCCTAGAATAGTGTTTCTCAGCCAGTGGTACGAGTACCATTAGGGGTACTCAAGAGAAGTCTGGGGGGTACATCAACAAAACTGAAAACTGGAGAAAACAGCGCTTTATTATTTTTGTACTTTTTACACCCAAAAATTTCATCTCCCACCCGGCTATGATTATGTTGTTTAAACAAACAATTTTTTCTACCAATGTTGCAATGGTAGAAAAAATTGTGTGTCTGAA